GTTGGGTGGAGGAAGCGTTTAAGAACTAGAGGAAGGTTGTGGGTTTCATTATTGCTATACTGAACCCTAAGTGACTCATCTCCCCACTACCCTTCTGCAAGGTATGTCCAGTTGTCTAGAGCAAACGAGGTTTTATCATCTGCATATCATGGGTTTTTAATGAGTCTTCTTCTAAACCTGATAAGAGATTTTCACATAGTCTAGCTTCTCAGGTTGTATGTTTAGCATACAGGTTGAATAAGTATGGTGAAAGGGATATACTCCTGAAGCACACCCTTCCTGATTTGAAACCACACCGTATCTCCTTGCTCTGTTTGAAGGACTGTCTCTTGGTCTACACACGTGAGCACAATGAAAACCAACTCAGTGTCATCAAGTTGATTTCAATTCATAGTGACCTTGATGAAGTGTCCCGGAATTCCCATTCTGTGCAATGCCATCCATAGCTTGTAATGATCCACATAGTTGACTGCCTTTGTCATAGTCGCTAAACCATGGGGAACCAGCTTTCTGGTATACTGTGCTGTAAGCCAAGATTTATCTGATAGCAGCAATGAAACCATCCCCCATTCTGTGCCTTCTTCTGAATGCAGCTTGAATTTCTGGCAGTTCCCTTGTTGATGTCCTGCTGTGACCTTTTAAATATATCTTCAAAATTTTACTTGCATGTGAGATTAATGATATTGTTCCATAATTACCTCATTCTGCAGATCCACCTTTTCTTGGAATGTGCACAAATAGGATATTTCTAGTCATTTGTCCTATTTCGGTTGTAGCTATTTTCCAATTTCTTGGCATAGGCGAGTTTTGATCCCAGCATTGCATCTATCTGTTGAAACGTCTCAGTCTATCAATTCCTGGAGCCTTGTTTTCCATCCCTGCCTTCAGTGTAGCTCAGACTCTCTTACTGCAGTACCAGTTGTTTCTGGTCTAGTGAGTCAGTGTATTCCTTCCATGTTTTGATGCTTCCTTTGTTGTTCAATGTATTTGCTCACAGAATTGCTCAATGTTGCAACTCAAGGCTTGCATTTTTTTCTAAAATTCTTTTAGCTTGAGAAATGCCAAAAGTGTTCTTTGCTTTGGGTTGTTTAGCAGCTGTTCTTGAGCCGCCCTTTTTATCTGCCCTTTGAAACTGTTCAGCGTCTTTGTTTAATAATTTCTTCTATTTGCTTCAATTACTGGACATTGAAGAGCACTTTTCAGGGTTTCTTCTGTAACCCCGTTTGGTTTTTTTTATGTCTTTCCTGCTTTTTATATAAATTCACCCCAAACAAAGCAAACATCTTAAAATTTTGAGACTCATTCAGTGGGCCATCTAGTGTTATTCAAGGTGATAGATGAGTCATGTATTAAAGGTAGTACTGGGTAGTTGAAATTGATCTTCCCCCTCTTCCCCCCTTGGTGATGGTTTGAATCTGATTTAGCCAATATTTGACTAAAATGAGTTAAGAAAAAAATATTCAGAATAGCTTTTTGACCCCTTGTTTTTTTGTGTTTTTTTTTGACCCCTTGTTTTCAAATGAGAAAATTGTGCTGAGGTTTAGAAATGTGAGCTAGCTCATTTGATTACTTCCAAAGACGGAGTGCATTGCATCTTTCCAACGTTAAACACCAGTTGCCACCCAGCCAGTTCCTGGCTCATGGCAAGGCCATGTGTGTCAGAGTAGAACTGCACACGATAGGACTTTTATACAAAAGTCCTTGATGGTGGTGGTGGTTGAGGCTTGCCACAGCAGGACACATACCAGTTCAACAGTTTCTGTCTACACGTTCAGCTCAGTGACACAGCACAACCTTCTAAGTGGGCAGCCATTCCAACCTCCTCTTCCTGTAGCCCCCATGGCGTCCATCGAATCTCTGGGCAGTGTCCAAGGCTGGCATTCTTTACTCCTTTGGTTTTTAAGAAGACTTCAGGGATATTTTTGATTAAAGGCTTAAAGCTTATCTCAGGGCAAGTTTTTTATTTTAATTTGCCCTTTGATCCTCCCTGCCATGGCTCTAGAGTTCATGAGAATCTGAAAATCCCTTCTGCCTTTACCCCCTTTGACCAGGATTCTTTTATAGTAATCTGAGCTGCTTTTATGTAATCATTTAATTGTAGACTTCACAGTACTATTGTATATAAACCTCAAAACTTGTCAGTCTCACCTTTTCCCTCTTAACAGAATAGTATACATTTTTAATTACCCGTTTTCTATGTAGTAGTTTTACACACCCTGCCCCCCACCGAAAAAAGTGATGCCACTTTCTTTTAATATGGAACTAATTTTAGAATTTCAACAGGTTGGAAAATATTTCATTTCAGAAATCCAAATCTTACAATGTATAGAAGTTACTTCTGTTATTGTAGGCTGATTTTGAGAAGTAAATCGCCAGAACTTACTTTCTGTTCTTTTTCTAGAATCTCTGCTGAAACTATTCAGCATCTGAGCAACATCCAAGTCTTCTCAGGGAAGGGTGAGGATGCTGCATTGGCCCCAGATTGGACTCATGGTGACCCTACAGGACAGAGATGAAGCGCCTCTGTGGGTTTCTGAGACTGTAACTCTTTACAGGAGTAGGAAGCCTCATCTGCCTCTCTGGGAATGGCTGGCAGGTTCAAATTGCATACTTTGTGGGTAGCAAGGCCCTAAAGTCATGAGGGAAAAATTAAATTTATTTCAGTAGGCTAAAATTCTATCGAGTGAAATTTACCACATACCTTGACTCACATTCCCAGTTCTAGAATTTGGCATAGAGATAGAATTGTACAAAAAATAAGGACAAGGATACATAAACTGAATAATTTAAATGTATATTAAAGAGCTTTTATTTTTTGTATTGTGGTCTAGCCATCCTATTAAGTTATTGATCAGCACGGGAGTTATTCATGGTCTTGTGGAAAGATCTGAGGAAACCTGTGAGGTAAAAGCAGGAGTGATTGTGACTGGCAGAGGGAGGTTCCAGGCTTCCTTCGCACACTAGTGGTACCATTGATATTTTGGGTAGGTAAACGCTGGGCATTGTGGGCTAACCACAGGTCAGCAGCTTGAATCCACTGGCTCCTCTGCAGGAGAACGATGGAGTCTGCCCACTTCTGTGAAGATCGAAAGTTACGGAAACCCAAAGGGGAAGTTGTCTCCTGCCCTGTAGGGTCACTGGCAGTCTGAACCACCTCGACAGCACCTAACGACTACAACCACAACTACTCCGCTGTGGGAGGGCTGTCCTTTGCCTTGTACGATGTTAGCAGGGCCCTGCCCTCTACCCACTAGATGTTAGTAGCATCTCCCCATTGACCTCCCCTCAAGTTGTATAACAACTGAACAAAAGTCCAGATCTTCCACATGTTTCCTCCGGGCACATCGTCCCTGGTTGAGCCCCCCCGGGAGTCCCTTCTGCTGCAAGGGTAGACAGCAGTTCATTGAAGTACACGTGGATTACTCCATTAGTGGCCGTGTAGTTATTCTTAAGGGAAACATCATACTGGATCCCATCCTTACACTGACATGTAAGCAGTGAATTCTAGTGGGCTAATATCTACATGTGAAAAAATAAAACATTAGAAGAAAATATAGGGGAATTAAATTTTTCTTAGAGAAAGCTATCTAAAAGAAAATGTATAACATAAAGATTGGTAATTCAGTGATACTAAATTTAAAAACCTTTGTTAGGCAAAAGGCGGCATCAAAAAGGTGACGAGACCAGCTACAAACTGGGAAAGGAGAGTTCCTTGTGTTACATGGAACAAATTTATTTCGGGATATTTAAAGAATTTCTGTTCAGTAAGGAATAAAGGCAACACAATAGGCAAATGGACGTGATATGGACTGATGAATTCACAGAAGGAAAGCTGAATGATCAGTACGCTCATTCTCACCCTCTCCCTTGGTGCTGTCGAGCCAATTCTGGCTCATCGTGAGTGAGCCGATCGGGCAGCCCTGGGAGTTTCCAAGATTAACTCTAGGAGGAAAAAGCCTCCTCGTTTTCCCGTGGAGCGGCTGTTGGTTTTGAACCACAGACCTGTGGTTAGCTCAGTGCATAACCCATTATGCCAGTAGAAATCGAGTGATGTTCTTTCTTGTTATCTGAGACATGCACATTTTTAAAAGGCAAAAAAAAAAAGTTCTTTAGAGGCCCTCTTTGGGTAAGAAGAAACAGGATGTGTGTATTTATGCAATTGGTCAGGTTGGCCACGACATCTAAAATCGGTGTCACCTGTGTGATCAGTAATATGAGGAAGGCAGAGATTAGAAAAACCTGATTCACTCTACCTACCCTCTCTAGGGTTTGGCTTTTTTTTTAAACCATTCACATCATACTTTTACAAACTTGTTAACATTTTTGTTTAAAAGCATGTTTAGTTTTACTAATAAATTAGCAGTTTATGTACACAATTGGAAGGTTGGTAGAAACCATTCCCTGCTACGTAGGGAGAAAGCGGAGGCTGCCTGCACCAGGCAAGCTCTACAAAGCCTTGGTAACCCTCAGAGGGTTTCTTTGAGTTGCAATCAACTGGATGGCAGTGGTGTGTTTGCGGGGGTCCGGGGGAGAAGGGGTGGTGTTGATTCATCAGTGATAACTTGGGAGTGAACCTTTCCAGATCCTCTCTGGTCCTCGACTTCATTGCACATTCTCCCCTGGGAGTACCGGTCTTCATGTGTTGCTCTTGTGGGCACTGAGAGGGTTTTCCACAGCATGCTTTACATTGTTTTTACGTATAAAGAGTTATGAATGTGGATTTACAGTAATTTTTTCCCCTTAAGTTTTAAGAGTTAAAACTATTAAATAGAATTTACAAATAGAGTTGAACTTGGTTGTATAACATGCCTGATAGATCTATCCCCCCCCCCCCATTCTTTGCTTGTTTATATTTGGTGATCCAAATGGAAGAGCCTCTGAACATTTCCTGACTTGAATTCATATGCAATTTCAAAGCTCCTGAATGGCTTCAGTACCTGCCTGACTTCCTGTCTTGAGAGCCCTCAGCAGTTCTGAGTTCACTGAGCTGTGATTTCAGTTAATTCTCTTCTCCAATGTCCCAAGGTGATTTTTCTTTGTAAAGCAGAATTTCTTTATGTACAGCTTTACTTATCTATGTAGGTCACACTTAAATCCCTCTGAGAAACTATTCCTCGGGTTACCTTTCTTAGGCCTGCTGGGTGAATGAATAATGTCTCTTAAGTGGTGAAAATTCTGCAGAACTTTGGTATTATAGACATTACATCCTAAAAGCCTTAAAAAGGAAAGAAAGCTACTTGACAAAGTTATTGTTAATTGGGAAATTGGCTTTTTGGGGAGTAAAATGTGAGCCGATTCCTTCCATATTTCAGAATTAGATGTGGGGTGCCTTTTTCATAGATAGGAAATACGAGTAAGACAAAACTTCAAGGACCTCATACTCAGATGTATAATCTTTGAATAGGAATTGATACCAATTTATGCTGTTCTTGAAATATTTACTCATTTTTACATCTTGGGGTATAATTTAAGTTTAATCAGGAATACCATATATATTCATGTATACGCTGAGTTTTTCAGCACATTTTTAATGTCGTTTTTGTGGTAAAATTAGGTGCTTCGACTAATACTCGGGTTGGTTTATACTCGAGCATATACAGTACTAGCAGATTATTACTTGCCAAGTCACATCTAGACTTGGTTGTAGTCACACACACACACCCCACCACTTCACAATTGTGGTACATTTTCTCTAGAAGTATTTCCGAAACAGAAATCATTTGTCACTGAGTGAAAAATCAACCTTTGAAAGGGGTGGTGACATGGCCAGCCCCACTATGAGACGAGATGCTCCTCACTGGCCCATGGCCCTGAGGGGGACAACACCAGGGACACAGTGTGGGAATTGCGCCTGATCTGACCCCGCCATGCTGAGGCAAGGCACTGGGGGGGGGGGGTGGGGGGG